GACTTTAACAGAATAAAACAAGTCTTGGCAGTAAATGTTACCAAATGTCAATTTGGTGTTTTTCCCTTAATGGTGTCACCCGGTGCGGACTGCACCCTCACCCCCCCCCCCCCCCCCACCCCCCATCTTCTGACACTACTACGTCTTATAATCTGGTCAATACCAAGTAACGAAATTACTTCGTGAAAAAAAGATGATGAGATAAACTGATTGTTTAGCGACGGTAAGTTATTTTTAAGATACACAACAGCAATGTCAAAACAAAAAGGCAGTAATCAACATGTGTTGTCCAAGCCGATGGATAAATGCATGAGGTGACTTTCAAGACCACAATGCATCACGATTGAAACGTGTACGTAATTTGTAAACACGGGGTTGTAACCTAGTCGGTACTTGGGATTAACGCTAATCCCCCGTGACGGGCGAAATTCAGGAGTTAATCAAGGGCGATAACTTGTGGCAAGGTTAAGGTGGGTTTGTGTCAGATGGGATTATCATGAGGGGTTAAGTCAGGTGGGATTATCGGATGTAAACATGGAGGTTGACATTGTGATGTGAATGACGTAAGATTTGACAGCTGAGATTTGGGTTGTCGGCCTTGCTGAGGATCCCACGAACTGTGGATATCTCTCGATCTAAAAACAGTGCGATTTTAACTTTAGGGTCCCACAGATTTTAACTTTAGGGTCCCACAGATTTTAACTTCAGGGTCCCACAGATTTTGACTTTAGGGTCCCATAGATTTTAACTTTAGGGTCCCACAGATTTTTAACTTTAGGGTCCCACAGATTTTGACTTTAGGGTCCCATAGATTTTAACTTTAGGGTCCCACAGATTTTGACTTTAGGGTCCCATAGATTTTAACTTCAGGGTCCCACAGATTTTGACTTTAGGGTCCCATAGATTTTAACTTTAGGGTCCCACAGATTTTTAACTTTAGGGTCCCACAGATTTTGACTTTAGGGTCCCATAGATTTTAACTTTAGGGTCCCACAGATTTTGACTTTAGGGTCCCATAGATTTTAACTTTAGGGTCCCACAGATTTTGAACTTTAGGGTCCCACAGATTTTGACTTTAGGGTCCCATAGATTTTAACTTTAGGGTCTCACAGATTTTAACTTTAAGATCCCATAGATTTTAACTTTAGGGTCCCACAGATTTTGACTTTAGGGTCCCATAGATTTTAACTTTAGGGTCCCACAGATTTTGACTTTAGGGTCCCATAGATTTTAACTTTAGGGTCTCACATATTTTAACTTTAAGATCCCATATATTTTAAAATTAGGGTCTCGCGGATTTTTAAATGAGGGTCCCGCAGATTTAAGCTTTAGGGTCCCACAGATTTTAACGTAAGAATCCCACATAGTATTCCATCAGATGACGTGTGCGATGTGGGTTCAAGTCCAAGTAAGACATGGTTGACATTATACTTAACCGTCTCCAGCCTTAACAGTGAAAACGCGTAACTTGCTATTTCATAAAACACTTTATATTACAATTTCGCCTTAAATTAGCGAAATTTATCTGGCCACCATAAACTATTGATGCCAACTGAAAGACAAAGAGACCAGAAAGGAAAAATGATAAACGACGCTCTGCGCATGCGCTTGAGGAACCGGATGTCCCTAATGTGATTTATCGAGTCACTCTCAAGAGGTTATTGGCTGGGATAGTTTCTACGTCGTGATTAGGTCGTTGTGAGGGTTGAGTGGGAAAAATTACTGAGAATAAATTTGTCGACAACAGCCGAATCGTTTTATCAGCCATAATTGCCTGTGTTATACAATCTAGTGATTTCAGATGAGGATGAGATTTTTTATTAACTTTGTTTCGTTTCACATTTCACTTGCCTGAAGACATTTTTATGTGGTTGTCTAGTCTTTCATAACTTTAAGTTAACATACATTTTTAAACATTAGTTTCGACTTACTTTCTAATATATGTTTAGAAAGTCTACCGCCCCCCCCCCCCCCCCCCTCCTGAATAAAATGGAATTTATATAGAAAATATAAAAAAAAAGTCTGGAAGAAACACTGGCACCGCTTTTGTATTAATTGTTTGATGACACTCGAGTCATAGATGACTTGAAACCTCTGACACGCCCTCAGTCTAAGATGACTTAAAATCTCTGACTTAAGCCACGAACCATCTGGCGACAAGCGCTAACCATTCTACAGCTAAAACACACAGCGAAGCATCTTTGTAAAACAAAAACTTTAAATTGTATCCCACGTAATAACCAGAGAAATTAAACCTGGAACGAATCCCAACGACACAACCTGACTGATTTATTTTTGGCACTTTCCCCCTCGGCTGTTGTAAGCTAAGCTCGATCAAAGCCAACAGATCAATCATGAGCTGACCAATAGGTAAACATAAACCCTTCATCCGTGACGCAGTTTATTTATAAACATCCGTCAACGCTGACGACATAGGGTTATTTTTAGCTACGCATTTCCGGGTCACGATGATGTAAACAATGTTTTTATTTAAAAACAGGAGCGGGGTGGGGGAGGTGGACGGAAGAGGGGGTGTAGTCAATACTGAGATGACAGGATAGAGGAAGATGAAGAGAAAAATTTGTAAGAGTTCGAGGAGGGATTCAAAAAGCTGACTGGAATAGGAAGGGGGAGGGGGAAGGGGGTGGGAGAAAAAATGATAGGTACCGTCCTGTTCTTGTGTTAGAGCGCTACAGCTCCAGTGGCTAGCTAAAAAAATTATGCCGTGATACACCAGTATCAATGTGCTACACCAGTATCAGTGTGCTGCAACTGTAACAGTGTGCTACAACTGTATCAGTGTGCTACAATTGTAGCAGTGTGCTACAACTGTATCAGTGTGCTACACCTGTATCAGTGTGCTACACCTGTATCAGTGTGCTACACCTGTATCAGTGTGCTACACCTGTATCAGTGTGCTACAACTGTAGCAGTGTGCTACACCTGTATCAGTGTGCTACACCTGTATCAGTGTGCTACACCTGTATTAGTGTGCTACACCTGTATCAGTGTGCTACACCTGTATCAGTGTGCTACACCTGTATCAGTGTGCTACACCTGTATCAGTGTGCTACAAATGTAGCAGTGGGATACACCTGTATCAGTGTGCTACAACTGTAGCAGTGTGCAGGTGTAGCACGTGCTAACAACGGCAGTAGCATCCGACACCAGTAGCACTCTACACCATTCGGCTAGCAGACTACACCATCCGGCTAGCAGGTTAGACCATCCGGCTTACAGGCCTCATCGTCCGGCTTACAGACTACACCATCCGGCTAGCAGAACTCACCGTCCGGCTAGCAGGCAACACCATCCGGCCAGCAGAACTCACCGTTCGGCTAGCAGGCAACACCATCCTGTCCGCCCCTACACCTCGGCGCTGCTGTTTCCCTAATGAGCGTCGTAGCTCGTCGGCCGCCACTCCTAACATCTCCATTGCCACTCAAACCTAAACATATCCTGCTCTAAAATAACACCAAGCTCTCTAATACGGGAAAGTCCACCTGCCCTTAAATAAACAGAAAAAAAATTCCCGTTGCAGTAAAACGCCGGTTCGGATATTCCCGCTGAACATTTTTTTTCATGTAGTAATATTCACAATTTTCTGATCCATGCTTTAGTAAACATAATTATATTGCATAACATTGATGATAAAAAAAAATGTCATAAAAAATCAAGTTAAAAGACGGGGCTTTAGGGCGAGGGGAGCTCACTTAGATGCCAACCTGCAGATGGTAGGCTTGTAATAACAAAATTGTGTTTGTAATAATTATCATTTCAAGTCCAAATTTTTGAAAAAAATCTACGTCCGGTTTTCCCGTAAGTAAAGACTTGGCATCTCCAGATTTTTTAAATTTTTTTTTCTGCACGAAAAAGCATGCTAAATCTGACTCCAAAAAAAAAAGCAGCGAGAACGTAGGAAGTTACGGCGATTTTTACATGGGGAAATTGGCTGTAATTAAGTAGATAATATAGTCGTCTCAGTGAGATTCGAAGTTTTAAAAAAATTTGTAAACAATTTATTTCTTGTAACGTGATCGCTCACGGGGAATGCAAATATTTTTTCACGGCGAAGATTAATAAAAAAAAAAATCGGTTCGTGCTTGAATATTCCACGTCGTTGAGTCTTGATGGCTCATTGCACTGGCCAACGTGGAAATTTATGGATTGGCTTTATTAGAAACTTGATTGGATTCTCATAACGGTCACTTAATACCGTGGAGAACTGAAAGTCAGGGTTTGAATTATCTGCCCATAATTTTCTGAATGAGTTATTATTTCTCGATTTTCAAGAGAAGTATTGATTGGTGGAAATATTGTTCTTTTGTATAGCGGGTTGGGCAGAGAAAAATGGCGGGACTTCAAAGGAATCGTTGACGTTTGGTGGTTGGTTTAAAAGTTGTTCTGGTTGGGAGGTGGCGGATAGGAGAGGGTAGTTGGAGAAGGGTAGGGGTAGGGGGTAGTCGGGGGAAGGGGAGTAGACTAAAGGGAGGGGTTGTTGTAATATATCATGAATGTGGAGAACATATAAGGCTAGTATTGTATAGCTATGTTTGCATGTATGTGTCCTTATCGGACTGTTAACGTATATGTTTATGAGTACCATGTATGTGTCTATGCTTAGCCGTGCGTGTTTCTATTTTTAAACTATTTTAATATTTCTACCAGGCTTTTCAAATTTTTCCCCGCTTGTGTTGGTAATCAAATTAGTATGCCCTTCCCCATCGACTTCCAAGTTAATACGCTACAATTGTCAACAATAAACATAAAGTGATCACGTGATTAAAAAACTGACCACGTGACAAAAAAAACCGAAACGCGTGACAAACATAGAATGATGACGTGACAGACTGATGATCCACAGACTGATGACGTGACAATAACAGGGTGATGACGTGACGACACAGTGTAATGACGTGACGACACAGAGTGATGACGTGACGACCACAGACTGATGACGTGACGAACACAGAGTGATGACGTGACGAGCGTCTACTTACAGCCACTTGACGGCGACACATCTCTCAGCACACAGCAGCAGCACCAGCACCATGCGCAGCACCGTGCATAAATTAGGCGGCCGCATTTTCTGATTGGCTGGCGGGTGGAACACTATAATCCGATTGGTCACATGACAGTCACGTGGGATACAAATTACTCCAACGGTCGAGAAAAAAATTTCAAATCACCAAAATTCTCCATTTTTTCCCCTCACTAAGTACCCATTATCACACACACACTACCTATAAGCTACTATTTTGATTTCTAAAAAATCGATATTCCAATGTTGAAAAACAATAATAATTTATATTACTTCTGCCTAGATTTAAACAATTACTGATTATAAACTTTTTTTTGTGATGAATACTCCACAATGTTGAAACTAAAACACTTCCGGGTCAGAATGATCTTGAAGCAGACGAGAGTTTGTCAGTTGAATGATCCGATCGGCTGCTCCTACCGAACGCCTGTAACAAAAATATAAAAATTAAAAATTACGTTACGATGTTACTCTACGAATGAGAAATGAAAAAAAGATTATGTGACTATGTTACACGACAATGGGACGGCGTGGCCTAAGCGATATGCTGCTAACCTGAAAGTCTCGAGTTCGAACCCGGGTTTTCAGGTCATTAAAACGTGTCTGAATCCACCCAGTTCTGATGAGTACCTAGCTCATGTTAGGGAAAGTTAACTAGCAAAGTGCCTAGATCAAGAAACATATGAACTCTACTTCATCTGCCCAATGGATCGCTAGGTCTAAGGAGGATTCTTTACTCTTTTATGTTACACGGCAAATGAGAAGTATTTTTAAAATGTTACAATCTTCCACCAAAAATTAGAAATTTAAAAAAACATATGTTAAACCACACATGAGAAATTGTAAAAGAAAAACAGGACTAAAAAACCAAATCACATTCTGGACGCTTATACTAGTGTGTAGGCTACTCTTCATAGAACAAACAAGAATGCAATGTGTTAAAAATACTTCAAACTCGGTAGTCAGCAAAACTAAATAACAGTAGACCTAATACAGGCCTATAAGTTATCAACTACGAAATCATTTACTTTTTTTCTTCAAGAATGTTTACCACACTGTGGTATGTTACGGCAAAATGTCGGGCGTGGATGTGTTTTTGTCTGTGCATGTGTGTGCGCGCGTGTGTATTGTGCATTCGTGTAAGTGTAAGTGTGTGCGCGTGAGTGCATGTAATTCAGCTTTACTAAAAAAAAAACCCACTAAAACAAATCTTGTCTGAAAGCGAATGTAGTGCAGTGATCAAGTGTCATCTTGTGCATACCATCTTTCTTCCAACCCCCCCCCCCCCCCTCCATCCCCGTCTCCAGTCGCTCTCATTCCTCCCTGGAGATATATTAGAACACTAATTAGCACATATTAAAAAAACTAAAGCTCTATTCTCTTCTGTACGAGACAGCGAAACAAAGCGACGTGGCACTGGTGCATCTCAGCTGGATTGTAATTCAAACTCCCCAGGACGTTAACACATTGTTTTTTTATAAGACAGATAAACGGGTATTCCCATTTCGGTACGGACATTCCCACTCCGGTTCGGAGATTCCCATTTTGGTGCGTAACCTTAGCACTGCGATACGCTGATAGGGACAGACCTGCAGTGAGCTCCCCTTATCCAAGATACATGAAGCTCCGTAAGAACTGAGTTGTCTACGCTTTTTGAGCCTCTTGTCCGTGCAGTTACTGAAAGCTATTATTATTCTTTACTTGCAAAATTTCTTCTCTTTCGTTCTTAATATTGGACGGGATTTTATATGTGCCCGTTGGCTCCGCATTCAGCATGCTCTTTTTTCTGGGTTAGATGTTATAGCACTTGTTCTTCCAAGATTTGATTTTTTAGTTTTCTGATTTTCTCTCCTAGATGGGTTGCAGTTTCCAGCTGTCGAGACTCACTTGACTGTGGGTTTGAACTCGAGGTTTAATGGTTTAGCACCCATGAGCTTTACTACCCTACCACACATTTCTAATAAGTTAGGGTAAAGAAGAATTAAAATTATTTAGACGTTATTGTCCGCATCGGTGGTCTAGTGGTAGAATACTCGCCTGCCACGCGGGTGACCCGGGTTCGATTCCCGGTCGATGCAACCCTTTTTTTGATTAATCAATTATCTTTGTTTATCTATTCAACAAAACGATGCAAGTACAACACGTGTAAGCGCCGCCAATAGCAAGATTGGTGATTTGAAAGTCTCGAATTTAGTTCATGAGCTCAATGTCCTTGAGGTAGCTCAGCTCTGATGAGTACCTGGCAAGGGTTATGGACAGTAAAGCTCTACTCGCGCAATCATTTACAAATCCAGTTGACTTAAACACAAGCACACTGCTTCACCTACTGCATGGACTGTCACGTCTGATGAGGTATTTAATTTTCCTTTTTACTTTTCTTAAGCGACTAGTGTGGTTAACTTTAATTAAAACGCAATGTGTTAATTAATTAAATTATTCTTACAGATAGGCCTACCTGCTCAGTAAAAGTAAAGATCTAACGTGTTTAAAAACGGTTTTTTTAAATATTGTTATACTTATCACTGCTACTATTTTAAGTTTATCATTACATTGACCTAAGTACAATCCTAATGCCTAACATCATATCCACTGGTCATTTTAAAAAGCCAGTCCTAATGTGGTGTAATGCATTTATAATTATAAATATATTGTAAATGCTTTGTAAAAACTCTAGTTGACACTAGACGATCGTTTATTGACGTTTCTGTTTCAGTATCGTACAGCCAGTGGTTGTCACCAGTCGTATCACTCCCTAAACTCTAAATCAAACCCCTGAAACTATTGACAAGCTCTGTATCGATCTACAGACAAGTAGAAATCGCCGGTTGTCTTGGGTAATATTTAAATAGTCAACACACACAAAAAACAGAACAGAAAAAAAGAAAGGTCGACTACTTAGACTATGTATTAAAGCCCAGTCTATAACCTTCCCATTTTTTAATTCTCGCTGATTTAGCCACGAAGGTCAGAGGTCGTCACTTCAAATCTTCCGCTCCAGCATACAGACAACGACCGCGTCATTCCGCGCTCGAGCGAGCAGACGATCGGGAATTATTTGCTTTACCCCGTCAAAACAAATGGCCGTTTGGCCCGGGTCACGTGGTCTGGATGGCGCCATTCTCCCCTGGAACCGGGCGTGATGCAGACGTGCATTCCGCATTGAATGCGGTCGGTCCGTGCCGTGCACCACGGGTCAGAGGTCAAGTCGTCAATTATGCAAGGATGTTTGACAGTGGAGCTAAGGCGCAGATTAGACGGTGGCGGGGGGGGGGGGGGGGGGGGGGGCTGGTTGGGGGATGGGGGCGCTAGCTAGATGCGTTATCTGAGGGTGCTGGCTGGGGGCGCTAGTTGGGGGAAGACGGGCACCAGCGGATATCACTCGTTGGAAGAGCTATAAAGGGTGGTGGGGGCGCTGACTGGATATGTTGGCTGGGGCGCTAGTTTGGGGAGCTGACTAGAAACGCTAGCTGGAGGTGTTGGCTGGGGCGCTAGTTTGGGGAGCTGACTAGAAACGCTAGCTGTAGCTGGAGGTGTTGGCTGGGGCGCTAGTTTGGGTAGCTGACTAGAAACGCTAGCTGGGGGTGGGGGGCTCCAACATTGCCAAGCTTTAGAGCAGTTGTTCTTAACCTTTTTGGGAGAACCGAACCCCACCAGTTTCACAGGTCAAGAAATATTACATAGATGGACATTGGTCAGAAAATGTGACGTAGAGTGACATTGGTAAACGCAATGTGATGTAGCATTTTTTACGCATATTTTAAGAGCAAGAACGAGGAAGAAAAACTAATTAACTTACTAAGACGTATAAGAAATGTTATCTAGAAACGCTGACTGCCTCGCCATAGCGACGGCCATGGATGGGCATTTGGCAAGTCACGCGGAAGACCGCAGGTGCGAGAGGTTCTGATGCAAGCCTCGTCCTTGAGTGTGACATCCGGGACATTCCTCAATTAACACGCTCAGTTGAGCTACTACACATCATGGAGTCGAAGAATGGGAATCCAATCTTTGAATGAGAGTTTTAGTTTTAGTGTTGGTAGAGAATGGGAATCCAATCTTTGAATGAGAGTTTTAGTTTTAGTGTTGGTAGAGAATGGGAATCCAATCTTTGAATGAGTTTTTTTTAGTTTTAGTGTTTGTAGAGAATGGGAATCGAATCTTTGAATGAGAGTTTTAGTTTTAGTGTTGGTAGAGTGCAGGTGTAGCATGGGTGAATCAAGGAGAAGCCGATGGGTGGGCGGATCGCGGAGTTGGGGGTGGGGTGGGGGGGTCGGGTATGAAGGGGTCGGGTGTAAAGGTGGCTTGGTGTCGGGACTACAGGCGGCTAGGGCTCGGGTCTCAAGTTGACGAGGGGTCGGGTCTAAAAGGGGCTAGGGGTGGCCCATATTATATTAAGCGCGAGAGCTTTTAATATTTTTTTGGTGAGAATAAATTAAGAATTGAGATTTGGGTGTCACCCGTCTCTAGGAAACAATGCATGTGGGTCTTTTCAATAGTTGGACAAGTTTCATTCTAATCAGTCAATGTGTAAGGGTCTAGAGAGAGGGTGTAGAAAGGGAGTGGGAGGAGTAGAGTGGAGGTGGTTAGAGAATGTGGGGTGAATTATATAGGAGGGAGTGTTTAGATAGTGTGGAGAATGTTCGAGAGAGTGCAGAGGGTTAGAATGTAAGTAACTTATTTGTGCAAGTTATTTTCACAATTGTAGTCTAGAATAAAGCTAAAAGGGTGTTTATTGCGTTATATTATTTTCTTAGCGGTAAGTTTATAATGAGGGTGAAAAAAAAAACGTTAAAATAGCTTAATTTCATATCTTAATATCTCTGTTATGTGAATAAATACACAACGCAGAGTTGGTTTGGGTGAAGATACCTAATTTCTATTGAATTTTCTTTTCTTATTTTAACCGGCTACATTAAAAACCGCATTTTTTTTTTTTGGCTTTTTTAAACTCCCCATTTGAAAATATACACATCTTAAGAATGCATATAATTCATTGAAACTTAAGTACTTTATTGAATGTGTCCTTCACACTACCTACATCAAATATACACCAGCGACATGCTCAGCCTTTATTTGAAGAACAAAGAGCTCGTCACTCTTGGGCAGATAAAAAATTTTACAGTATGAGTTACGGTTCTTGAGCTGGTAGAATAAAGGGGAGACAATGAAGGAAGATTGATTTCATGACCCCTAGCCTGTGATCGTTCCCGGGTTCCCCGCCCCTCAACACCCCTCACCCCTGTTAGCTCAACACCGCTCCGCCCCTGCCGCGACTGATGCCCGGGACCGGACGGCCGGTCGAGTGTTTAACCCTAGTCCGGCAAGACGGCCGGAGTAAACAGGGGAACACGGCGACGTCACGACTTGACGAGCACCTGTTGTCGCTAGGCAAACGGGCTCGGTTACCAAGGTAA